GTCCAACCTGTGCCTGATCCCCACCTAGTCCCCCAGCCCAGAGCACTGAGCGCCAGTTCCTTGAACACCTCCAGGAATGGGGTCTCCAAACCTCCCTGGGCAGCTCCTTTCAAGGTCTAATCCGCCTTTCTATGAAGAAATTTTTCCTAATGTCCAACCTAAACCTCTCCAAGTGCAGCTTAACACTATATCCTTTCATCCTGGATGGAACATAAGGGGGGAATCTCAGATCAAGAGCCAAATTCCTGGGTACTCACGAACCCTCCAGGCTACATTTCTGTGGACCCCAAACCTGCCCACAGTGCCTTGGAGAGGCAGTGGGGACACACCCCCCCTGCCCAGAGCTGCCCGTGCAGATGGAGCAGAGCAGCACCTCACACTGACCAAACCTCATCACTGAGGGCCACAGAAACCAGCTCAGAGAATCAGCTGAGGAAACCACCCCTCACTGCCTGTGCTGGCAGCCAGGGACAGAACCAGCCTCTCCTGGTGACCTGGTGTGTGTCTGCTGCTCTCTGCACCTCCCGGCTCTGTGCAGGGCCTGGCTCGGTGCCCTGGCTCCAGTGGGGCAGGCAGGAGTGTCCCAGTGCTGTCCTCCCCCCACAGGGCTGCTCCTGCCCCCGGGTGGGATCGCTGTGAGCTGGAAGAGGTGAGTGAGGATGAATTTCATACCACTCTCCAACAGTATCACGGAATATCTCAAGTTGGAAGGGACCCATAAGAATCATCAAGTCCAGAACCAACACCTCTCTTATTTTCCAAGGTTTCCATTGCTGACCAAAGGAAAAAACACCCGTGAAGAATATTTACAGTTTCTCCTGCCAGCACAGAGATTTCTGACAGGCAAAACCAAGGTAACATTTGAAAACTAGAGACAAAAGGAGAAAAGGCCTTTTGGCTCAGTCCAAGTGTCACCTGCTCCCTTGGATTTCCTGGTGGCAAACAAAGTGATTTCCTCCTGCTGTGAAACGGGAATTTCTTTTCCTCAGAACTTGGATATTTGTTGATAACTAAACCAGCCCCATTACATGCACTCCTCATGTCAGTGAAGATCATCTAATTTGGCATCTTGGTTTGCATCTTCCAGTGCCTTGAACATCCTTTTTTCCTCTTGTGTAGGGGGTTGATGGTAGAAGCTTCTGCAATAAGATTCGGCTAATTAGAATCCCAGAATGATTTGGGTTGGAAGGGAACTTAATGATCATCCAGTCCCACCCCCTGCCATGGGCAGGGACACCTTCCACTAGCCCAGGTTGCTCCAAGCCTGTCCAACCTGGCCTTGGACACTTCCAGGGATGGGGCAGCCACAGCTGCTCTGGGCAGCCTGTGCCAGGGCCTCACCACCCTCCCAGGGAAATGTTTCTTCCCGATAGCCAATCTATACTCCCCCTCTTTCAGTTTAAACCCATTTCCCCTTGTCCTATCACTAAAATTCCTGATGAATAGTCCCTCTCTGAGTTCTTGTAGCCCCTTCTGATACTTGAAGGGGCTCTGAGGTCTCCACACAACCTTCTCTTCTGCAGGATGAACAGCCTCAACTCTCTCAGCCTGTCTCCATAGGGGAGGTGCTCCAGTCTTCTGTTCAACTTTGTGGCCTCCTCTGGACTTGCTCCAACAGTTCCATGTCCTTCTTATGTTGTTGGCACCAGACTTGTACACAGTATTCCAGGTGGGGTCTCAGGAGAGCAGAGGGGGCCACTGTTGAGTATTTGGATGCCTGTGATGGCTCTGGGTGTGTTTTGGCTTCTCTGAACCATGAAGGCCTTTGAACACAAAGAGGAGACATCACCTAGAGAAGAAAGTATGAAAATAAAGGTAGATGGGAGCTTTTCTTCCAGGCCCCTGTGCAACAAATCCTTCCCTTCCCTTGCCTCTCCTTCTGATGTGTTTAGAAACAAGGTGATGTGTTTAGAAACAAGGTGATGTGTTTAGAAACAAGCTCCCTTGTCATGGAGGGAGGGAAGGAGACAGTGTAGGGTCAGTGATTGACCTGAGTTTCACGGAGATATCTGTGATTTTGAGGTGTATTTCTGACAGCATTCTGTGCTTTAATGGTTGCCAGATATTTAAGTGCTAGGCAGGCTTGTGGGAGAAGACAACCCTGAGGAACATGAACATCAGGAGCAGCACTTCTTGGGGGGAGAGGGGAAAACAGCCATCACTGGCTTTGAAAGTACACTTCTACACTGGTTCAGCAAATTATTTAGGGGTCTGGTACAATGTTCAGTGAGCCCAGAGCTGTGTGAGTCACATCTGGGCTGCTGAACAAAACAGAAGTTCCTGATACCTGGGAGAGATAGAAGGGTGGGTTTGTCCTTGTGTGACTTGCAACTGATAATGAGGCGTGTCCTGGTGATAAGATAGGTTGGAATGAGATAGATCAGCATGGGGGTATGATGGAGCGTTCCATGGTGTTGATCAGACGTGGTTGGTCACCAACATTTTGTCACGTCTCACGTTATCGCTGCGGATGCTCAGTGAGAAGATGAAGTTCATCCTTTCCCTTGCAAGATGTAGAGTGAGAGAGCCAGGAGAGTTTGAAAGGTTCAGGTAAAACAGAGGGAGATGGATGAGTGGAGAGAAGGAGGTAAGGAGAAATCAGCAAGAGAAGAGAGGATTTGGGGAAGTTTTGGGGAGAGCAGCATGAGCCACAGAGCACCGAGCTCTGAGCCTGTGCCAACTGCAGCTTCTGCCTTTATCTCAGCAGGGCCGCAGCACTTGCTCTGACACCCAGAGACTCTGGGATCAGCCAGGAGGTCCAGGAGAGTGTTTTACTATTTGGACACACCAGAAGGGAGCAAGGAGAGAGGACCTGGAGATGTGTCTTACTGAGGGGGCCGAGCCCCTGCTGTGATGGTACACTGGGGATGCCCAGGGCACTCCCCTCAGCCCCTGCACATCCCCAAAGCAGGAATCACAAAGACTCTTGAGCCACAGAGCCCTGTGACTTCAGGACCTGGTTGTCTCCCTCCTTTTTTTTCCCCTCCAGCAACTCCTGACATTTTGTGATATTCTTGGAACAGCCAGAGCAACATCCACAGCCCAGACTGGAGGATAAACCCCTGCCCTTAGTCTTCTGGCATAACCTCAAGGGATTTATGTCCTGTCTGTCAGGGTGTGGATACACACACTTGCTTCAAATTGTCTCCAGCTAAACCAGAGGCTCCTCTGGGAATATAACTTTTCTGGTACTTTCCTTCAGCAGTGACCAGTTTGCTGAAAATTTAATAGGAGAGATCATTTCAAACCAGAAGATGGACTTGTTTTGAAAGCAAGATCTAAGCAAAACCCTTTGGCAGTGGTTTTCAAGTAGAAAACACACTGAACCTTCTCTTTTCCAGCTTTCTCTGGGAGGAAAATATGACATAGAGAATAATTTTTTTCCTGTCTCTGCCACTGACTGGACAAACAGCAACAAGGCAGTTTCTCCTCTGATACCTGTTTTCCTCTCTGCTGGCAGGGATAATATGTCCATAATTCAACACACAGGACAAGCTCGTGGGATTGAGAGAGAAAATGCTTTGGCACATAAATAGTTGGTGCCACTGGAGGCTTCAGTCTAAGCAAGGAGAGGGCAACACTTGGTTTTCATCAAACCTGAGTTCTCTGAACAGGCTGTACCAGAGGTTAATTCAAGCCCCACACCTGATGCTCCCCAGGAACTTTGTCTTCAGACCAAATCCACCTCCCATCAGTGCTTTAGATGGGGGCTGTGCCCTTGGACTGCAGCTGTTTGCTTTGCCTCAGGACAAGGTGCTCTGTGTGAGCTGCTGTGTGGCTTCTCAGGCACCAGGAGATGGTGAGAGATAAGCTTCTGTAGTCACTGTACCTCGGGGCTCAGATCTTCTGCTTCCTCTGTTTCCCCAACCTTCACAACCCCCCTGGGCTCTGCAGCAGGGCAGGCCACAGTCCCCCCCCACGTGTCAACCAGGGGAGTTCCACAGGGGACTCAGCTGAACTGCAACAAAACTGCAAGAAAAGACTCCATCCCTGCAGCAAAACCAGCCCAAGGGTCACCTGGTTGATCAAGGAGACCATCAGGGAGTGAAATCCTGGCCTAGTAGAAGGAAATTACAAGTATTTAGTTGTCAGGTGGAAGCAGTTCAATAATCTGAGCTGTAGGTGTGTTAAAAAAAATTTAGAATAGTTTATTTAGAGGATGACCAGGCTTGAAGAACAAGATGCTCATTTCATCAGCACAGAGGGGCCAGGTGGGATCCAGGAGGTGAGGAATGGGCCCTGGAATTTAGATCTTTAGGAGCCATGACCACCTTGGAGGGTGTGTGAAGCCCTGCTCTGTGCTGAACAGGGCTGGCAGTGCCCAGGGGATAAGAAGAGCCTGGCAGGGGCAGGAGGACAAGCCAGTGGGTCCCACTGCTCCTCCCCAGCCCAGCTGCTTCTCACCCTAAGCCAAGGGGGAAGGGGACTCAGTGGTTCCCTGTCCTGTGTCACACCCCACTCAAAGCTCACCAGAAATGCCACCTTGGTGGTTTCCAGTGAAAGAATTGTATGTGAAGGTGTCTGGAAAGATCCAGATCTGCTGGAGCTAACAGAGTTCATCCTTGGTGAAACTGGTGAGCACAAAGCTCTGAGGTCACAGAATAACTGAATCAGAGAATTGTTAGGGTTGGAGGGGAGCTCTGGAGATCATCCAGCCCAACCCCCTTGTCAAGGCAGGGTCACCTGGAGCAGGTGACACAGGGACGTGTCCAGGTGGGTTTTGAAGGTCTCCATAGAGGGAAGGTCCTGGGATAGCTTTGGAATTGGGCAGGAAGAAGCTCTAATACTGTCTGTACCATCCTGTGCCAGGTCAGGCTGGAGGTGATCATGGCCTGCTGCTGACAGGAGGCACATGATCCCAGCTGAGTGTCCCCTGTGCTGGGACAGCATCGTCTCCCAGGTGCTTCGGTCTGGAACTGCTTGAGAAACAAAACCAGCATTTGAGAGATTAAAGCAAAACTTCACAAGGAGCCTTTCCAGGTCCTGTGCAGGTGGGGGTGTGTTGAGGAGCAGAGAAGGAAGTTCAGGGAAGAGCTGCTTTGGACTTGTCCTCTGTCTGTGGCCCATTTTCTGTCTTGGCAGCAATACTGTAGTAGTAGGAGCGGATTGTGTTTTCCACTTCTACAAATCCTGGACGTTCTTCCCACCTGAGAGGGCAGAGAAGAACAAGAAAGGTCAACAGAGGGGACAAGAGCAGACTGATGCAATGAGAAGATACCAAACACAGAGAACCTGGGGAGGAGCAACAGCCCAGTTGTACCAGGGCTTAGGAGGACAGCTCAGACTGTTCTGGGATGGAGAGGGTCAAAGACACAGAGCTTGGACAACTCCCAGGATTGGCACAGGCAAATGGAGGAGGATGGTAATAAAAGGTTCATCATGGAGCGGGGAGTGACACCAAGGCAGGAGAGACCAGTTGCTTTGTGTTGTCACCATTCAACGTGCTCCAGCTTGGCCTGGCGAAATGTGTCCCTGCTCACGGCAGGGCTTGGAACAAGATGATCTTTAAGGTCCCCTCCAAACCAAACCATTTTGGGATTCTGTGGTTCTGATGGACCTGCCACCCAGCAAAGAGCTGAGCTGGTGAGAGCCTCACCTGTAGGTCCAGCACTGCTGCATGAGGGCGAACATCTCTGCGGGGCAGTCGCTGGGACGGTCCAGGCGCTTGCCCTGCTCGATGAAGTTGTTCACCTCCGGGCCCTTCATTTTCTAGGACAGGATGGAGTAGGAAATGCATTAATGTTCTTGGAGCTGCCACAGGGTTAGAGGAGACAGGTCAGAGCTGGGCTTGGGGCAAAGCTTTGGACCCATGGGCCACAAATGCGTCACCGTTTCCAACCCCAGCACCCACAAACTGTCTCAGGCTGTGGCCCATCTTGCAGACCCCATCTTGTCCTCCCCACAGACCCCATCACATCCATCCTGCCAACCCCATCCCACCCATCCTGCAGACCCCATCCTGCCCAGACTCCAGACCTCATGCTGCAGACCCATCCCCCCCAGCCTAGAGACCCCATCCCCCCATCCTGCACACTCACCCTCCAGACCCCATCCTGCCCAGACTCCAGACTTTATCCTAGTGATCCCATCCCACCCACCCTGCAGACCCCACCCCAGGCATGGCAGTGGTTGAAAAGTGACTTTTCAGCTCTGCAAGTGAGCAGAAGGACCAATGATCTCCTTTGACTCAAACCCAAATGTTTAGTTTGTTTTCTGTTTCTTCTCCCTTCAATGAACACAGAGCTGCAGGATCCAACCTCATCGTGCCTTCCATGAAGTGTAAGTGGACCTTAGCCCTTTCCCCTGTGTCCAACAGTGGGAACACCAACTCAAGGAAATAGGAATTGTAGTTTCTGTGTGTGTCAGTTGTGACTGTGTCATCCACTTGTGATGGACCCAGCTCTGCCTCACTTTGGAGGGTTCCATCCTCACCTCGAAGGGTTTCTGCCTCATTTTGTGGAGTTTCTGCCTCATCTTGTGGAGTTTCTGCTCCACCTTGAAGGGTTTCTATCTCACCTTGTAGGGTTCTATCCTCACCTTGTAGGGTTTCTGCCCGTAGCTGAAGGCCTCCCACATGGTCACACCGTAGCTCCACACGTCGCTCTTGCTGGAGAACTTGTGGTAGTTGATGCACTCGGGGGCGTACCACTTGAGGGGCCACTTCCCTGCTGTCCTGGCCTGGAGCAAAGCAAAGGGGAACATTCCCACCCTGAGACACAGAGCTGGGAGCTGGGCCTGAATCCTGCTTTGCTAAATGTTTGTGTCCAGAGCAATCCAACGGTGCTGAAAAAATCCCCTAAATCCTGAGCTCCAAACCCCAGTCCTGGAGGCTGGAGCTTGTTGTGCAGGACACAGAGTGCAGGATGCTGACCTTCCTGCCACCCTGCTCCTGCACCCCAACCCCAGGGCTGTTTAATCACAGAATCATGGAATGCTTTGGGTGGGAAGGACCTTAAAGCCCATCCAGTGCCACCCCCTGCCACGGGCAGGGACACCTCCCACTAGCCCAGGTGGCTCCAAATCCCGTCCAACCCGACCTTGGACACTTCCAGGGATGGGGCAGCCACAGCTGGTCTGGAAATTCCATCCCAGCCCCTCATCACCCTCACAGCCAAGAATTCCTTCCCAATATCCCATCTCACCCTGCCCTCTGGCACTGGGAAGCCATTCCCCTTGTTCTGTCCCTCCAGGCCCTTGTCCAAAGTCCCTCTCCAGCTCTCCTGGAGCCCCTTTAGGCAGTGGAAGGAGCTCTAAGGTCTCCTTGTATCCTTCTCCTCTCCAGCTGAACACCCCCAGCTCTCCCAGCCTGGCTCCAGCCCTGGGGTAACTTGGTGGCCTTGTCTGGACTCATTCCAACAGGTGTTTCTTGTGCTGGGGGCCCCAGAGCTGGACCCAGGATTCCAGGTGGGGTCTCTGGTTCTCACTGCTGGAAGAGCAGCCCTGGCTCACTTTTCGTCCCCTTCTCTTCCCTGCTCTTTGCTCTGGCTCCTCTCATCCCACTGCACCACGTCCCCCTTGCTGCCTCTGCAGCCATTTGAATGCCCTCCTTGGGACCCAGAGCTTTGCAAACCCCCTTTTAGTGTCCCAGCAGTGAGACCAGTCAGAGTGTGATGTTGTGCAGCTCCTGAGGAGTCCAAAGCTTCTGTCTCTGGGGCTCTCAGCCCCCAGCCAGGAGGGCTCCTGCTCCTCACACTCACCTTGTAGTAACTGTCATCAGCACCAAGAGCCTTGGAGAGCCCAAAGTCACTGATCTTGGCATAGTGCTGGTTCACCAGCAGGACGTTTCTGGCTGCCAGGTCCCTGTGGACAAAGTTCTTCTCCTCCAAGTACTTCATCCCCATGGACACTTGGTGCATCAGCTCCACGATATTGCTGATTGCAATCTCATCTCTGGGGAAGATGAAGGGACAATTCACTAATAAAGGACCTGCCATGGTCCCCTCTGAATTTTTCAGCTTCCAGGGAGAACGAAAAGGGCTGTCCTCTGCTCAGTCCCTCTTATCCCACACGAAGAGACATTGCAGCTTCTCTGCACCTCCAAAGCTCAGCTCACCCGGCAGCAGAAAATCATCCAGAGACATTTAATTCAATACTCACTTCTTGGAGGCCAAGAACCTGTTGAGGGGCCCTCCAGAAGCCATCTCCATCACCAGCATCAGGGACTCTGCCTCGCAGACCCCGATCATGCGGACAATGTAGGGGTTGTCCAGCTGGTGCATGATCTGAGCTTCCTTCATCATCTCATCCTTCACTGTTTTCTCGTTGTTGCTCTTCAGCACCTTTATGGCCACATCAATCTGCTTCCTGCAAGAGGAACACGTGTGGGATGAGCTGAGCAGCAGCTGGATTCAGGTATTGTAGCCAGGAATGCAAAACACTTCTCAAGTGATGCTGTTGGACCTCTCAACAGACTGTTTTGGCAGAGCCCTGCACCATCCTGGTATCCCAGGCTGAAGAGGAAAGGATCACCTCACCCTTCTAAGTGTAGGCCAGGAGTTTCCATCTGTAGATCTGAGGGCACATCACCTCACACACCAAGATCTGTGTCATTGCTGCCACTCTTCAAGGAGGAAACTGAGGCACAAAGTAGGTGAGGACCATCTGTGTGGGCTCATAGACAAGAGCCCTCACATGGACCTGACCTCAGGAACATGGACCTGCTCCTCTGAACCCATGAAGTACCTTCAGGGTATTGGAATGAGATGATCTTTAAGGTCCCTCCCAACCCAAACCATTCTGGGATTCTTCAGAAGTGGCAGTGGTGTGCCCAGGAGTGTGTGGGGCAGGTTCACCCTCAGGGGAGTGAGGCTGTCACTGAAAACCCATGAAAAGTCATAGAATCATAGTATTGTGCCATAATATCATTGAATCATTAGGGTTGGGAAAGACCTCTAAGATCATCAATGAATCCCACCATCACCCACTAAACCACAGCACGAAGTGCCACATCCACTTGGTTTTTGACCACTTCCAGTGGTGCCGACTCCACCAGGGCCACCACCACTGACCTTCCAGACTATCTCTTATACCTCCACCCCATTACCATTTTAAGGTCCACCCAGCTAGAAACAAGATAACTGGGGACACCCCTGAGCCCAGCTCGGATCTCTCTCCTCCAGCTCCCTCCTCACCCCTCCAGGTAACACTCACTTCCTCATTTTGTAGACTCCTTTCTTGACACAGCCAAAGTTTCCTGCCCCCAGCTCCACTTCATCAATCATCAGGTGGTCCCTCTTGAGGAACAGTTTCTTGTCCTTCAGTTCCTCCGGGTCACTGTAGGGGCTCTCGTAGACACTGGTGTCCATGGGCAGCAGACGGGACTTCCCGGCACCTTCTCGGGGGACACAGTTGTTTAGAACCACCTGCCCTTCCCCGTCCCTCTCTCCCTCACTGACTGGGAGGCCAATTCTCCTTCAAGCTCCAGCATTTATCCTCTCTCATGGACATTTCCCTTCCTTACACAACCCATGGCCTGTCCAGGTTCCAGCTGCTGAAGGAGCCAGGATGGGGAGAGGTGGCTGAGCATTCCCATTCCACATATCAGACTCTGCAGGGCTTGGGCATGGGCAGGACATCACCCCACTGAAATACAGCTGAATCCATGGATTATTTAGGAGGCAGGATGGAAGATGGGGATAGGACAGGGCTCGATGTACTGGGTAAAACAGGGAATGGGATAAGGCTGGATTTACTGGGAGCTCAAAACCCTGAAATGACTGGGATGCTCTTGGGTGCCTTTGTAAGAAAGGGGTCTACAGGCAACCCCTGTGGCTCCTGTGCCATCCCCAGGTCCTGTCCCCTGCCAGGACAGGCTCTCAGAGGTGCTCACCTACAGGCTCTGGTGTGTATCCGTCCGCATTGAGGGGCCCCAGGTTTCTCTGGAAAAAAAATGGGGATAAAGTAGATGAAGGAGCACAGGGAAACTGCCTCAGTTAGAAGTGGAAAAGGAAGGGACAGGGAGCCTCTGCACCCCAACAGAGCCCAGATGGTGATGCCCTTAAAAGGCCCTGAGGTGGCACAAGAGATGGGAGGGGTATCAAGCCAACATTCCTCTTCCAGTCCCGGCTGGCAGATCCCAAATCAGGGATCAGGCCTTGGGGGATCCAGAGCCAGGCCCCCTGAACACAGCACCCTCCTCCAGTACAGCAGAGAGTGGCAAAGATGTGGGACATTCATTCAGCACAAGCACTGCTTGGAGTCACCAGGACATGGCAGTTTTGGGCACCACAGTATAAGATCTGAAGCCATCAGAGAGTGTCCAAAGGAGGGCAGTGAAGATGGGGAAGGGCCTTGAAGGGCAGACCAAGGGCACTTGGTGTGTTCAGCTGGACAAGAGGAGACTGAGGGGAGACCTCACTGCAGTTCCAGCTTCCTGGGCAGGGGCAGAGGAGGGGCAGGGACAGAGCTCTGCTCTGGGGGGACCAGGGACAGCACCCAGGGAAGGGCTGGAGCTGTGCCAGGGGGGTTGGGATGGATCTCAGGGAAAGGTTCTTCCCCCACAGGGTGCTGGGGCACTGCCCAGGCTCCCCAGGGCAGTGGGCACGGCCCCAAGGCTGCCAGAGCTCCAGGAGTGTTTGGACAACGCTCTGAGGGACAGGGTGGGATTGTTGGGGTGTCTGTGCAGGGACAGGAGTTGGACTGATGATCCCTGTGGGTCCCTTCCCACTCAGCATATTCTGTGATCCTGCGACGTGGGAGCCCAGCACGGATTGTGAAAGCTCCTGAGACAATGGGGGAGTGCTCAGGCCTCACTCAGCTCCACTGGGCTCTGGGAAGGGCTCCCAGCCCCCAAACTCCCTGGTTTCAACACAGCTCAGTTCTGGGAGCTGTGACTGAGCCCAGACATGCCCCAAGGCCAAGGGAGCACAAAGACCTGGCCAAGGGCCAGTGGGCTGAGTGTTCCCAGAATCCAACCACGTCCTCCTCGCTCCTGCCTGGCAAGGAGGGCAGGGGCAGAGGCCCCCCCCCCCCCAAGGGTGTTGCAAGGAGCTCAGTATGAATGGAAACCATTTTCAGCTCCAACAGTAGCTGTGCCTAGTGATTCCTCATCCCCATCCGAGCTGGAAAAGGGACAATGTCACAGATGGTCCTAGTATAGTCCATTGGAGTTACCAAGTTTTAGGGAAAAGCAGAGTTTGGAGAGCAGAGTTTGATCAGCAAAGCCTGAAATGCAACAGCATTAAACCGCTGAGGAACCAATAAAAGAGACCCCCCCAAAAACTTACGCTCACAGAGGGGTGGGTTGGTGGAGCCGGTGCTGCAGATGCTGCAAATCAGGAGAGAGAAATTAGGAATTTGCCTAAGCCTTAGCAGGATCAGAGCAGCCCTTGAAGGGTTGTGTCTGATCACATCCCCTCCACCCCCAAAGGACAGTTTTCGCAGCTTTAGACAAAAAAAAAAAGGTGTGGAAATGTGCCTGGATATGGGTGTTATTCCCAAATCAGTGGGAATAATCAGTCTCCATCAGTCCCAGAGCAGAGCCTGGCTGAGGAGAGCGAGGGTCCCATGGGCAGGCTCTGAAGGGACATTTGTGACACTTGGACCAGCAGAAAGTGACCCATGGTTTGGATCGTTCAGCTCCAGGGACCCACCAGGACCCAGCCTTGCAGGACATGTTTCCTGCTACCTGAAAAGCAGGTGATTTTCAGAAGCCTTTTGGCTCACCAGGAGTCCCTGATCCATTTGAGGCGCTGGTTCTCCCCATCTGCTCCTGCCTTTGGGCGTCCTTAGGCCAGGCCAGGAGAGTGGCCACTTTGAGCAGACAACATGACATGAGACTTGCCCAGTTTGCCAGAGGAGCAGAGACCTCACTGCTCCCTGCCCAGCAAGGGCTCAGCAAGGTTGGACACAGCAAGGGAAATGCGGGTTGGCACCGCTCAAACTGGCACCACTTGGTAGCAAACCCAGGCCCGGGGTGGCACTGGGAGATGTCAGCTCACCTGGCAGGTTGGGGTTGGGACAGGTTTCCTTCAGGTAGAAAATCAGCCCATCTGGTTTGAGTTTTAGGTATTCCACCAGCTGCAGAAGGAATCGGAGGAAAAAGAGATTATTGTGAGGAAAACATTACCTCTTTTTTTGTTGAAGACAACTTTTGTGGCTTATGGCAATGATTCCTCTCAGATTTATGCAGGCAAGGACTAGAATGTTTCTCTCCTCTGTCTAAAAGGAGATCTGCTCACTCAGGGATGTCCTACAGTAAGTGCTTGTATATTTGGATATCTGCCAGAGCTGGGAAGAACTTTGGAAGTTAGATAAGGACCAAAAAAAGACAAAAGGAAATCTCCAGTATGAGATTTTCAGTGTAATATTATTGTCCCAGTCAGAAAAGTTTTTTAAATCCTTTTGTGTCTGATAAAGCCTGAGAGAAACATTTTGCTTTCCTAGAGGAACTCCAGGGTTAGCTCTGAGGATCCCAGGCAGCTTTTCCCTGCAGCACCACTGGTCCAAGCACAGTGGGGATTTGACTCTGGCTGGAGACAACCAGCCCAGCCCTGGCCATTGGACCACAGGGACACAAGGCTTTCTCTTCTCCTCCTGTCTGGCTCAGATTTCAGCTGCAATTGGGAGCCTGACATGGTTCTGTTGCCATAAAAATGCCCCCAGGCCTTTGTTTTCAATCAAACTCAGAGTGAAAACAGTCCTGGGAATTTGGAAAATTCAGCAAAACAGAGTTACTGTCCCCCCAGGCAGCCCTGCCCAGGGGGAAGCTCTGGGATCTGCTCCTGGAGCAGGTCTGAGGTGGGTGCCAGGGGGCACAGCTGGGCTCTGGGGGGGACATGGACTCCCCAGCAGTGCCAAGAGTTGCTGGACCATGTGTCCCATTCCCTAAAAACCCACCCCACCTTCATAAGGATTGCTGGGACATCGCAGCCATGTCCCCTTCCCACTCTCAGGGGTGACAGGATGTGTCTCCTGCCAGTGGGATCTTCAGCCACATAAAGATTTCAGCAGCTGGCTCCAGATTTCTGCACTCCCCTACTCTCTGCACCAAAACCAGTCCCTCAGAACATGATGTGGCAACCTGTAGCCAATGGTTTTGCCAATCTTGGAGCAGTCCGGGGAACACACAGGAGGGACTACATGGGATGAGCAATTTCAGGGTTTTCTGAAAGGGAAAACAACCCATACCACCACCCATGGATGCTCTTAAAGCCTTTAAAGGTCCATATGGCCTTTCCTGTCCCTCAAGGCAGCTACAGTTGGTCAGAGCCTGGTGCTGATCACACCAAGGCTGTGGTTTTGATCCATGTATGGGCCATTCACTTCAGAGTTGATGATCCTCGTGGGTCCCTTCCAACTCAGAATAACAAGTGAAAAATGCCTGTACTTTCTTAGACATCAGTTTTCAGCACCCCCAGCACTTTACCTGCCAGAGTGTGTCGAACTTGGTGCCCTCAGGGATGGAGTATTTGCCAGACTTGTCCTGGTCCACCCTGTAGTGGTACACAGTCTTGCCATAGACGAGGGACAGGGCATAGGTGCCATTTTCCTTCCTTTCTCTCAGCCTGGAAGGAAGGAGAACTATTAAAAGTAGCTCTAGAATTTGCCCTGCAAGTTGTCATGGTTGCCAGGGGTGGGTGGGCACGTGGAAAGGTGTCCCTGAATCCACTGTTGGAATTGCCACCTTCCCGACACCCCTCTGAAGATGCCGAGGGGGATCCTTCAACTTCTGGTTTTTGCCTCTCTCATGGAATCTAAGAATGGTTTGGGTTGAAAGGGATCTTAAAGCTCATCCAGTTCTGCCCCTCTGCCATTGTCAGGGACACTTTCCACTAGCCCAGGTTGTTCCAACCTGGCCTTGGACACTTCCAGGGATGGGGCAGCCACAGCTGCTCTGGGCAACCTGTGCCAGGGCCTCCCCACCCTCACAGGGAAGGGTTCCTTCCCAATATCCAATCTAAATTTCCTCTCTTTCCGATTAAACCCATTCCCCCTTGTCCCATCACTAAAGTTCCTAATGAACTGTTCTCCAGCTAATTCTTCCTTTCCCTGACTCATTCAGGAGATAATTCAATTAAGAGCTGTCTCACCTTGGCAGAGATGCAAAGCAAATGCTTTCTCCTGTGTTTTATGGGCCATACATTGCCAAACTGTCAGTGTTAAATGCCTTCATCAACTGAACCCTGTATTTCATATCATCCAGTGCAATGGAAAGCACATTTCATAGAGATATTTCAACATGAGAAATAAATAAAGCTCAAGATTGGCTCTTCATGGAGTCCAGGCACTGTCTGGGCAATAACAGATTTGGGGTCTTAACCCCTGTCTTTGACATATCTGTAACCAGCCTGACCATAATCAGCTAAACCTCCTCTCAGAACTGTCATGTGAAAGCAATAATTACAGGATGGTGGAGGTGGGGAAAGGGTGAAAAGCACAAGGATCACAGCATCTGCCAGGTTTTGGATACTCACAGGAATTTCCCGTCAGGTTGTGCCCCCGAGTAGAGCCTCCGCTCAGCCTCGTCCCGGGTGATGCTGCCGTGGTACCAGGCCATCCTCTCATGGGCTGTGGTGGCAACCAGCTTCTCCACCTGTGGAGCCTGGCTTATGATGGCCTGTTCCAGTGCATCCCCCTGGAAAAGAGTGGGAAAGGAGACCTTCTGCCGTTCTGCTGCACCTTTGCAAGGCTTCAGCACAGCTGATTTTGCACCAGTTGGGGCAGATGACACAGGAAACTTGGAGGGTTTCCTAATTAAAGGGACTGCAACCCAACAATGGGTCACAGCAGAAATCTGTTCTGCTGCAGAGCAGAATTCCTTTCTTCTCTCAATTGACCTCATCCCTTGAATCCAGCTGAAGTCCATTGACTGACTGGTGAGGAAAGAGAAAATCATCACATTAATGTGGTGGAACTTGATGCCAGGATTGTGGGGTGTCTTTCAGCCTGACATTCCTTTGGAGGGGGTCCTGGTGGGTGGAAAGTCGGGTGTGAGTCAGCAGAGTGTCCTGGCAGCCCAAAGGGCAACCGTGTCCTGGGGGGCATCAGGCCCAGCATCGCCGGCTGGGCCAGGGAGGGGATTGTCCAACCCTGCTCTGACCTGGGGTGGCCTCACCTCGAGTCCTGGGGGCTGTTTGGGAGCCACAGTGTCAGAAATGTCTCATCAACGTCAGAAGGATGTTGGAGAGTGTCCAGAAGAAGCACATGGGGATGGGGAAGGGTCTGAGGAGCAGCTGAGGGCACTCGGCTGGTTCAGCTGGAGCAGAGGAGACTGAGGGGAGACTCCTCGGGGGCTGCAGCTCCTGCCCAGGGGAGGCGGAGGGGCAGGGACTGAGCTCTGCTCTGGGACCAGGGACAGGACCCAGGGAAGGGCTGGAGCTGTGCCAGGGGGTTGGGATGGATCTCAGGGAAAGGTTCTTCCCCCACAGGGTGCTGGGGCACTGCCCAGGCTCCCCAGGGCAGTGGGCACAGCCTTGTGGGTCCCTTCGACCTCAGGAGAGTCCAGAATTCCATGACTTTCTTTAAATCAGAAGGTCTTTGGTGCTCCTGCCTTCTTGGCTGCTCACCAGCTCCAGACACCAGAACTGCAAGAGCACTGCAGTCTGGAAATCAAGCGAGGGACCCTCAATTCATTTCCCTGGGCTCACACCTGCTCTAAACTGTTATTTTTCGTTGCCAGGAGGTGGCGATGTCCTTTGTGTTATCTGTCAGTGGCCACAGATCTGGTTCGTGGAGAAACCCCATAGAATACCTGCTTCTGGTATAGAATTCTGGCATGAAATAACTCATTCTGGTCCAGAATACCTCATTCTGCTATAGAAACCCTGTAGAATACCTCATTCTGTCAAATACCTTTGCTCTAAAATAGCCCAAATTTAGAGAGCCTTTGTAGAAAGGCTCCATAAGGACAATTCCTGAGCTGTATGTCTGCCAGGACTTGAATTAAAATATGGAATCACAGGATCAATTAGGTTGGAAAAGACCTCCAAGATCAACAATTCCAACCTGTGACCGATCCCAACCTTGTGAACTGGCTCAGAGCACTGAGTGCCACGTCCAGTCATTCCTTGGACATCTCCAGGAATGGTGATTCCACCACCTTCCTGGGCAGCCCCTTCCAATGAAACAACAAAATCACACTTGGAGGAGTCTGGTGACAAGGTGACAGGAGGTAGAAGGAAATTAATTACAGGGCTGCCAGTGTGACCACTTAGAGAGTTTTGCTTTATTTATATATTATATATATTCTAGTCTGTAATAAAATACAGGAACCTGTCTGTAGTTATTTAGATACTACTGTTGTAGTATCTAAATTTAAATGAGAGACCTGATCCAGTACCAACTACCTCAGGCTCATAGGTAAAAGCTCCATTGGCAAAAAAACCCCTCTACGTAGGACAAACTTTCAAATAGGCAAAGACTCCGCTCCAAAGAGAGAGGAAGACCTGAGCAAAAGTCTAAGTCTTGTTTCATTCCATTTTCAGCACAACATTTGGAGGCATCTCATGTGAAGAGCACTGATCTAAGGCAGGGAGCATCCCATGGGCTGCAGAGGAGAGAAGGACACGTGGGGAAAAGCTGGCAAAGGGAAGTCTAGGTGTTCCAAAGGGGAGTCACAGAATCACAGAGTCGGAAGGGACCCACAAGGACCATCGAGTCCAACTCTTAGCCCTGCACAGGACCATCCCAAGAGTCACACCCTGTGCCCCAGAGGATCATCCAAATGCTCCTTGAGCTCTGGCAGGCTCTGTCAGAGCTCAAGAAGGCTTGGGAAGATGTTTAGACTTGTTTCTGAAGAAGGAACTGTGAAAGAGAGGAATTAAGACTGTTCTTAGTGCCATCAGCCTCCGAGAAGGACCTTGTTCTAGAGGGGGCAAGAACAAGGGGATGATGCAAGAGCAAGAGGGGGATGACAGTGGCTGTGAAGTAAGATAACACACAGGTACCCTCGAAATTCCAGGCAGTGGAAGGATTGTAGGAAAATTTATTTCCAGAGTCAAGAACACTGGACTTCCAAGGAAATTATCTTAATGGTGCTCTGAACACTGGGCCTGAGAAAAGCCTCACTCCTGTTCTTCTTTATCATCACTGGCCCCCTGGCCCTCCCCACCCCAGAGGCCCTTAGCATGTCTGTGAGTTCTTATCTCTTTCCTCATACCAGAGAAAGTTTCTCTGGAATGCAGGAGGAGAAAACACCTAACATTTTCTCTGGGAAAGATGCTTCTTCTGGGCAGGAAAGCAAAGAACTCTAATCTCCTCGCCATAAATCTTCTGGCAGGGTGGCGGCGACAGAGGGGTCAGGGCGCAAGCAACAGGGTGTGAGCACCCCTTACACATTCCCACTCCTGGAAAAGGCCAGTACCTCCAGTTTCCACGTCTGCCGGACGTACTCCCGCACCATGTTGTCCCTCATGCTGTCGAACACCCCGGGCTGGGGCTCCACCCCACTGGGCCGGTTGCAGGGTTTGCGGAGGGGGCAGCACAGCCCGTCGGCGTCCTTGGAGTAGAACTCGCAAAGCTCCTCGGGCCCGCAGTGGGCCTTGCCCCCCAGGATGGCGTAGGTGCCGTTCAGCTGGCGCTCGATGGGGTAGTGGTAGAACTGCAGGTCGAACACCACGGACAGCACGTACCCGCCCAGGCTGCGCAGGCACTGCCGCAGCAGGAACAGCCCGTCTGACATCCCCGCCAGCTTCAGGTGCTCCTCGGCCTCCGACCTGGCGATGCTGCCATAGTAGAAGGGCAGGTGAGCGGCAGCATCCGGCATCTCCGGGACTTTCCTGGGACTCCTCCGGGTGGTTCACGCACTGCTGGTGCTCAGTCTGGAAGAGAAAATTCATGGAATCACAGGATCAACCAGGTTGGAAAAGACCTCTGAGATCATGGAGTCCAACCCATGACCCAACACCACCTCGTCACCCAGCCCATGGCACTGATGCCACGTCCAGTCTGTCCTTAAACACCTCCAGGGATGGGGACTCCACCCCCTCCCTGGGCAGCCCCTTCCAGTGGCTGATCCCTCTCTCTGAGAAGAATTTCTTCCTGATGTCCAACCTAAACTCCCCTGGCACAGCTAAAGGCTGAGCCCTCTCGTCCTACGGCTGGCTGCCCAGGAGAGGAGACCAACCTCCTGTCAGAGGGTTGTAGAGAGTGAGGAGGTCTCCCCTGAGCCTCTTCCTCTCCAGGCTGAGCCCCCCCAGCTCCCTCAGCCTCTCCTCACAGAACTTGTGCTCCAGACCCTTCACCAGCCTCGTTGCCCTGAATGTTCTTCACTGACATAATTTTGCAAAAATGGTTAGTTGGAATTAAGACTCCTCTGTCTTGAGGTTCTTCAACCCTCAGCTGACTCTCTGAGTCATTTCAAACCTCTTGTGGAGAGGAACATCAGGGATAAATGTTCGAGTACAATGTTAAAAAAAACCAAGCAAACAAAAAACCAACCAAACATAAAGCACAACCTCACACTCAGGACTTTGACCAATGCTCTATGAAAAAAACAAAATCCTTTATTGCCTTTGCTTTTTCTGCCTGTTCTAGCGCTGCAGGCGAGAACTGTTAGTTCAGGTGCTTTCACTGCACTTACTTCCTGAGAAGGTCAGCACCTCTTCCTAAATACGCACTCTATCCATATCCCCATCCACAGCATCCCACAGGATTCCTCCACCCTGCCCTAAATAGAGCTACAAAGTATAAGTAAAACCCATCTGAGCTTGATTTAAAGATTCCAGGCAATAAAGAATGCACCAAATCCTGCAGTGAATCACTCCAAATGGTTAATTATCTTAACTATTAAAAAAGTGCTTCTCACATCCATCCCGAAGTTTTCAGCCTTGACTTCCTACCATTTTCTCTCCAGCCCTCTTTTCACAATAAAAGGAAATTCTTTCACCTCTCTGAGTAAATTAGTTTTGTCATGGAGGTCTCTGAGTCCAGAATCTTAACTGCAGTAAGATTACAACATGAGATGTCTAAGAAGCATTTAGATACACGGTTGCACCAAACACAGCACAAGGAGATAGAGATAAGCCCAAGTGCTTCTGGGCAGACATCAACCATCAGTCAATGGGAACAAGAAGAAACTTTCCTCTAATTGTCCTTTGAACAATCTATGTTTTCTTTTCCCCACAATACCTGACTCTGGTGGTCTCTGAATTTGGCTGATACTCTGATCCCGCTGGCAGAAAGGGGCACGTTGTTGACTGAGTTGCTGCAGAGGCCCTTCTTCTGTATCTACACAAGTCCTGTATCTCTATCTTGAATCATCCAGAATCCCACCCAGAGGGTGTTGACAGAGGCCAGTGTGCTGTGATTCATGGAAACATCATCAGATCCGAAGGGTCTCATTTGTTCCCTGCGCAGACGACGACCCCAAGAAAGGTCAGAGTGGTTGTCCCCATCCCACAAACACGTCACTCGTGTTCAGAGTAAAGCAGACACTGGGAGAGTAAAGAGGACACTGGGTTTTTGGGCAATTTGCCTTGGTTCTTCCCAATTTGACCCTTATTTCTGAACACTGTGGGAGAAGTTACTACCCAATGGGTTGAGCCCATTGCTGTGGCCTCTGCTCTCAGGCAGTGGCTGGAGCTGTGTCTGGGCTGGTGGTCAGCCCTGCTGGGGCTCCCCCAGGCTCCTTCATCCCTCTCAGCACAACAGTGGCAGTGCTGCCTCCTGCCAGCCTCTGGGATCACTAGAGCTGGGAAGGGGTTGGCTGGATTTGTGCTCTGGATGGGCAGGAATGGGATAAGGGTGAGGAGGAAACTGCTGAGGAGGAACCAACCCTGCTCTGCAAAGACCCTCATGGAGCTGGATTCATGGCAACCAGACCATTCTGTACCTATTTGTTTGTTGTCTCCATCAAGCCCCGAAATGGCCCTGATGAGAACAGGAAGGGAGAACAGGAGGCGTTTCAGCCAAGGCAGGAAACCACAACAGGAAGCCTCAGTGGTGTTCACAGCTTGGGTGAGGGACCAGTGAAACCTGTCAGACACAGCACAACTGTGGAGCCCCTTCCACCAAATCCATCCAACGGAGCAGAGTGGGGTCTTGGCAGAGCTGCCGGTCTGGGACACAAAGGAAAACACCCCATGGCTCAAACCCAGACTGGAGTCGGTGCTTGGGACCAAAACAAACGTCCTAATCCTGTGATGCCTCCAGGCATCAAAGCAGCCCAGGCACTGGTTCCCAGACCTGGTTCCCAAACCTGGTTCCCTCAGATGACCAGGTCTTCCCAACCTCATCCTGTTCCCAGGACTGAAGGACATGAGACTGAGGATTGCAGCTCTTGGGTTTAACTGCAGTGAGCTCATGAGTCATGTTCAGGAGGAAGAGGAAGTGCTGAGTGAGCAGTGGGAGATCAGTGGCCTTCTTCGTGTGCTGCTACTTTCCACTGCCCACCTGGGACAAACAGCAGGGAGGTACAAGGATGCTGCACCTAAACATGCTGCTTCCCTCTCCTGGAAAGTCCAGGAGCAGAACATCACAGCAAACAAATTGTTCAGACAGGTGAAAATGAGGTGGCGGAAGCCATTGGTGACATCTGAGCTCTCACAAAATTTCCAGCTGCCTACACGGAGTGTTCTGTTATAAACAGGCTGGTTTTCCTCTCCAAACACAGAGCTGTGAGTGAAGGAACTCTCATGGAGTGATCCCAGGCCTTGGTTCAGGCTGTGCCACCCATCTCATCCAAGCCTTGCTGTCACAGGTGAACCCTGGTAGGAAATGACTCCTACTAGAAAAAACTTTTAAGTCCCCAGACATGAGGAAAAGTCACCTGCTGAAGTCACAGAGCAAACTTGAACAGGATAATTTATAGCCCCTCTTACTTTTAAAAGGTTTGTCCAGCCATCTTGGCTCTTCCCATTGCTCACACACCAGCCCAGGGTCTTCTGGGCATAACTCAGCTCCTCTTCCAAACTACAGTTCTGGTCACAGAACCACAGAACCACAGAATATGCTGAGTTGGAAGAGACCCACAAGGATCATCAAGTCCAACTCCTGGCCCTGCACAGGCCCATCCCCAAGAGTCACACCCTGTGTTCAAGAGTAACATCCAAACGCTCCTTGAGCTCTGTCCTTGGCACTACGTCTGGGTGGACCTGAGCAACCCTGAACAACCCCAACAGACTTCCACAAACCTCACACAACCTCCTTTTCCCAAAGCAGACAAAAGTTAGAACCAATTTCATGGACCGATTTGGTGAATGTAACAAATGCCCAGAAGCTGTGCAAGGGACCCTCCCCCATCATTAATTTGAAGTGACAGGACCTGATTTTTCCAGCACCTGCCTAGTCTCTGGCCCTGGGTGTTCCTGTTGGGTTTGGGTGCTCCCCTCAGGCTAGACAGAGCCCTCGGGGCTGTCACCCAGGGCCCCTGTGGTGATGGCCACGTTTGCAAGTTGGTGTCATGACATGGAGATGTCCTGAAAAAAAAGAACCCCCTCTGAAACACAGTGGGATCTGTGCCCATGGCACCCAGGAGATGTCAGGCAATCACATCCATATATAGCTGGGTACTTATTTCACTCATCAGACAGGAACCAACAGGAACTGGTTTAATTTTGTAACTTCTCAGAACAGCAGAAGCACTTTGTGTGAATACAGAGCCAGTTCCCAGGAGCACTGGAGAAACTGGAGGCAGCACTGGCAAACTTCAGCATCCTGTTAGGACCATATTTTCTGTCCCATTGTCCTGGCAGCAATAATCCCATATAACACAAACAACCCCATATACCCCAAAACATTCCATATACCACAAATAACCCCATATACCACAAATAATCCCATATAACACACATAAATCCCATATACTACAAACAATCCCATATACTACAAATAATTCCATATAACACAAATAATCCCATATACCACAAATAACCCCATATACCACAAAAATCACATATAGCACAAATAATCCCTTATACCACAAATACCCCCATATACCAAAAATAATTCTATATAACACAAATAATCCCTTATACCACAAATAATCCTTTAGATCACAGCCCTGGCTGGCTGAGCTGTCCCTTTAAGGTGGTTGGGTCACCCAGGGGGAGAGGAGGGACCTGCCCAGGGGAGATCAGGGGCTGGAGAGTGGGAACCAGCACAGAGAGGTCAGGGGATGCTTTGGAGGTGGTGCTGGGAGCTGCTGCCGAGGTTTGTGGGGGCAGTGTGGGGCAGGGGGGTTTTAACCACCCCCTACATGGGGTTTGACTGTGGAGGGGGGAGCAGGGGCAGCTGGAAGTGCCTGGTAAATTTAGCATTGCTGAGAGGTGAGGTCAGCCTGGGGTGGGTGGTGGGGTCTTTCGGCTCCTCTGAGGTCTCTTCTGCTGCCCCTTAGGGTTGGGAGTGTCCTGTGGCACGGGGGGGGGGGGGGGGGGGGGGGGGGGTTCCATGGGCAGCCCAGTTTAGCTGCTTGACCTGCAGCAGGTGAGTCAGCTGGGTGGGTGTGGAGGGAGCATCACTCTGCCCCGAGCTCCTCTGGCCTGGGGAGCCTCCTTGTCCATGTGAACTGGCCTCTCTGACCACCCCATGGGAAGGGAAGATGCTTCTCGTGGTGCCACCTGCACTCCCTCAAAGAATAAACGTGCATTGTCACAGTGCTGCTCCAGCCCCTTCTGACAGCACTGCAGGAGAGCCCTGAGCACAGGTCTGTACCCAAGGTTATCCCAACCCTGATGGCCCCCACAGAGGGGTGGCTGGATGGAGGAGCAGGGCTGAGCCTTCTCTGTGGTACAGAGAAGGGGTGGGGAGGATTTAGGGCTGGGAGCTGGGGGTGAGGAGCAAGGGGGTGTCAGAGACAGAGTGATCTCAAGGAGCAGCCACT